GCTGGTGCTCAGGGGCCAAGTGGTGGGTTTGAGACTAGAGGGTTGGGCAAGTCCTCGTGGCCACACTGGAGTTTTCACCCTGCACTATAAGACAGGAGACTGTTTATGAGCCTGATGCCACTTCAGGCAACAAAAGCATCAGGGTAGGATGCAGTTGAGAAGGACATGTCTTCAGAGCCTTGTGAAGAATGACAAAGGTCACCAATATAGAAAGCTCCCTTGTCCAGAATCTGCTGCCCTGGGAGTATCCATCATTTGGCAGAGTCAGCGACCACTAAAATCCTTTTTTATAAACTATGTGAAGTTTGAGATACCCAATCCAATAACAAGAATTGGTTTTCTTATGATTTAGGCAATTCTGAGAAAATATAAAACCGGCGGGGGAGAATTTTTCATTTTTCTCCTTGTATTTCTGCACAACAGGTAGATGTCAGCCTTTCCACAAAGGTTCCCTGTGCATACTCCAAAAAGCCAATACTCTGAGCAAGAGAGCTAACTTTCATTGTCAACACTGAGCAAGCACCAGAATCACCAGGAGGCCTCTGACACTCAGATCACTGAGTTTCTGATTCTGCTGGCCCAAAGTATAGTAAGAGTATTTGCAATTCTAGTAAGTTCCTTGGTTGATTTCAAAACCACACTTTCATCCCATTAACAGAAAAATAAATTTTTTAAATGACCAGAATAAACTATTAAAATTAGTGTCTATGATTTTGCTTGATATTTCTGAAATGGTTCAGAAGATAGAATTATTAGAATCATTAAGGAGCATCCCAAGATTTTGAAGAGTAATATTAATCTGGATTCATAAATTGCTCAGTGCACATTTATTAAATCCTTTCCACTTGCCAAACATAGTGCTAAGTTCCAAGAATACAAATATAAAGAAAACATGATGCACAACCCTTTAGAGAAATATTCGCTAATATCTATGATGTGCTTACTATTTTACAAAGAGTTAATAGTATTCTTTTTTAATTGTTACTGTTGTTTTCTTTTATTATCCTTTATTATCAAATGTTATTCAGTGATCACAAAAGCAGGCATAGTTTTAAAAACATCTTTAAGTGTTTTTAAAGTTTTAAGTATAACAGTGTTAAAAACCCATCATGTGACATGTTGAATCCATTTCATTTCTTGTGCCAGTCTATCTATGAAGCAAAGAAACACATTTTTTTGCTAGCTATCAACACATTTTTTTTGCTTCTTTCCAAACTCTTTATTGAGCATTAGAGAAAGCTTAAATATTAATTTTTTTTTCTAACAAAGTAGAGCAATGTTTTATAGTTCTGTCTCTGAAGTTTAGTTCCAGTTCAGAGTAATTAAACTTCCCAGGCTGCTGGCACTTACAGTTCCAAACCTTACCTAAACTGCTAATGAAAGACACGCACACCCATTTTTTAGAGCGGGAATAATATTAAACACCCAATACCTCATATTTCATTGCAATTTTACGACTGATTTCCTAAATCTCTTGGAGAAAATGAGTCTGAAGAACTTACTATTCACCCATTATGCAAACTCTCCCAAGCAGACCACATATCCATTGTTCATTGAGCCCCATAAACAATACAAAAGACTTGCCACAAGAACACACACTTCATGGCCTTGTTCATTCAAGTGTGGGTTTAACTTAGAATGACAACATCAAGACATTGTCCAGTTGTTGGAACAACCAACCAGGCCAGTCACCATATTTCAGATATTCCAAGAGTAACCTAATTAGGGTAATCGTCATTTGTTTTCTTGTGTGAACATCTCTTTGTACCCTTCTGATGGAGCTACATGAGCAAAGATAGAAATGAAAATAAAATGTACAAAATCAAGCCTGTTTTCTATGGTTTAATCTTTTATTTTGCAAGGATCTGGCTGAATAACACTCTTCACCAGTAACAGCCAATTGTTCATGACATAGTGCTCCCCAAAATTTCACCAATAAATAAAATTGATTTGCTAAAAAGAAAAAGAAAGCTAAATAAAATCAAATGCTCCCCATTTCCCTGGCATTTAGAAGAAACACATCCTGCTCCATAGATAAGACCACAAATGAACAGCTGAGCTACATAATGTACAGTTCTAACTGGACAGCTTCTAAGAAAAATAGAAGGATTCCTTCCAACTCCAGTCAATGCACGGGATACAAAGAGAAAATGTTTCTGCAACAAACACATTTAGGACTTGGTGTTTCATAGAGTAACTCTAATAGAGGCTGTAGCCACAGAAAAATTATTTTTCTAAGATAGTAAATGTTCTGAGTCACCACTTAACAGAAGTACAAGCAAAATGCAAATGCAAATTAAATATATACATATTTATGACTTTACTGGCTGGATGACAGGGCCACCTTTTGCTTCTGGCTGTATTTACCAGGAAGAGAAGCTTAGAAAACCAGCATGGGTTTCTATTCAAACAATTCCCTCTCTTCAAGCCCTGGTAGGTGCAAAGTATTAATTCTGAGTCTGCTGATGCACATAGGCCAAGAGAACCATAGTGAATACATGAGAATGGACACACATTTTCTCCTCAACAGTATTTAGGTGGATGAGAAAATTTAAAAATAGAAATATAAAATATTTAAAAATATACCTACTCTTGAATAACTACTAGCAAACCGAAGTTTCCTGTTAATCTTTATGATCTTTAAAGGCAAAAGCTGAACCTTCACCATACAGCTCCTGACACAACCTTGAATACAAATCTACATCAGAATTTTACCCTGGCCCTCCCACTATTATCTGCATAACTATAAGCCAGTTAGTTTACTCCCTAGGTTTCAGTTTTCTATCCTATTAAAGTTAATATTTTATCAGAATTAACTTTATCAGAAAGAAACACACCATGGTCCTCACTACAAATGCAAGGTCTGCTAATGATACTGAAGATCTAAGGTATTCTTCATCACCATTCTTCCATAGATAAAAATCATGGCATCTCTGTGTACAGAAAAGAGTTGAAGGAGAACCTTTTTAAGGGGAACAGAAACTAGGTTGGTTTTGTGGATTAGTTTCCTGCCCTGAAACCACAGGCTAATCTCAGGATCTGCTGAAATTCATTCAATACTGTATTCTAAAGAGTGAGTGGTTCTTCATCTTGAAATACACCTTTCAAATGACACAAGACAACATCCAAGAATATATCATACATATTTTGTTTCTTTCAGCTTCTCACACTAGTGGGACAATACGATGCTTATACATGTGTGTCTGATTTATTTCACTTATGAGTATGGTCTCAAGTTACATCCATTTACTTATAAAAGTCTCCCATTTATCTTTTATGGCTGAGTAATATTCCCTTATATTTTTTCCTTTTTGAAATAAAATGGATTAAAAAAGAATGCATCTTTTAGACAGCTATACATTACTAACAACTATGAGGGCAGAAACAAACAAAAGAGCATGATACAGACGGCACAAGTCTGCTGTCTACCAAGGGCAAGAGAAACTTCTGATGTGCTCAGGAAAAAGAGCCACCATATGCGCTACACGCCACATTTCTTGTTGGCAAATTATCTTATATGAAGGAAATTTACACCATCAGATGCTATGTTTTCCAGCATATATTTCCCCTATGAATGATTTTACTCATCTCCTCCATTAATTCAGCAACTATTTGGGGGCATACTTTTTGCAAACTACAAAGCTAAAAAAATAATGATATGAGCTTACTGTCAGAGTATTCAGCCAACATGTACCTTAGAGTACTTCAGCTTCTTAGTATTTTCAAGTAAAACTGAAACACCTGGCAACATAGATGCCATAAAGCCCACTTGTAATTTTCCTTCCCTTCATGGGTAAGTGGCAGGTGGTGAAAGTGGGGAGGGATAAATTAAAGGCAGAATAGGTAACTGGCCAAATCCCTTAGTTGAGAGAAGGTAGAGAGCTTTCCTTTTTCTAAAGACAGCAATATCGTTGGGTTATAAACACACAGTCCAACATTATAGAATACTAACGCTGGAATTGTAATATGAACATCCAATATATAACTTTAAACTTGGAGGTGAGGGGATCTGGCCTAAATCTGGTACCGGAAGTAGAACCCAGGTCCCCAGCCAAGACGCTTAGCAGTTCCCGATCTGTCCCACATACTTTCTGTGACCTTGTCACTATCAGAAGTTGGAATGGTAGAATACAACAAGGCAATGAACAAGACACCAGGGGAGGAGTTCTATTCTTGTAAACACCACTAAATTAGACGTGATACCAAGGAAAACTCCCCTCAATCGTCCAGACCTCAGTTTCCTCCTTTGTAAAAATGTGACCAGCAACTGGCAGTGACACTATACAGATGACAAGTTGTCCCCTGGGGTTTCTTTCAGCTGGGAACCCTCTGACAAAAGCTGCTGCGAACACTAGTTAGTTCACCAAATTAAAGCTCTAACAAAACCAATCCTTTGACTTTTCACCACTCCAACAACTGCAAAGCACTTCAGCCTTGCCACTAATCAGAGGGAAGTCTGTGAATGGATGCATTTCACCAGCAGCACAAGAGGGGTTCCCCAAACCTTAAGTCTGGAATGTTGGGGGGAGCACATGGAGGGACTACTCCTTCTTTGCTGCAGATTAACACATTCCGAGTGCCTCCACCCCACCCCACCCCACCCCACCCCAACCTTAATGGCCATTCACTATAGAGCCAGGGCCTCCTGCAGCCTGAGAAGGTCTTTAAGCAGCATGTTATTTTTAATCTGCCATACACTCCCTTAAAAAAAACATCAAAGTAACTCTTGTTCCCACCTTTGAAGCCCTGATTTCAGTAGATTACATGAAAAATTGACCAACCTATCCAAACAACTTCTCTGGAACCGCTTTCTACCCAACCGTGCGGGAGTTGGGGTGGGGGGGTTATAACTGACAACATATTTATCTGCATAGATGAGAGATAAGCAGACATTTGTCGTCTTCATTCTTAGCGACTCCAGGCACCGGCCCTGCGAATCAAACCGAGGCACTCTCCCTCGAGCCTGTCCCATACCCTCGCCCCCTGCCCAGATGTTGAAGCGTCACGCCGGCCCGGCTGGGAGAGAGCGCGGGGAAACGCAGAAGCCCGCCGTCGCCGCGTTTAGGCTGGAACCACACCGCACCTGTTCATTCCGGCTCCGGCACCAGACGCGACCAGAACCCAGACCTGCAAAAGCCCCTTCTGAGGTCCCGGGGCCGCCTATCAAGTTCTGCGCTTTTAGTGCCAGGGAGAGTGGTGAGACGGCTCCTTCTGCTGCCAAACTGCGTGGTCTCCCGAAACTGGGAAGGAGCTTGTGCTTTCGTGAGCCCAGGGTACCTGCCAAGTGGCACTGCGGCCCCTGGGGCGACGGTGGCGAGCCGGTGGGTGCCCACGGGGAGCGCGCGGCTGTGGCCCCAGGGAAGGAAGGTCCCGCTTCGGTGGCCACGGGCGCCCCCTCCACGTCACGCCCAGCACAGCGCCGACTGGAGAAGTAGCAGGGCAGAGCGACCGTGTGGTGTCCTCAGGGACGCAGAGCCCCCGAGAGCCGGCCGCCCAGAGGGGTCGGGAGGGGAGGGCCGGGGACGCGCAGGAAACTTACCTCACCCGGGCAACGTTCGGCAGCCTCCGCGGTCGAGACCAGTTGCGCCACAGCCTGCAAGTTGTCGGGATGTTGTCGCTTCCCCCGGGCAAGGGACAGCAGCGCAGCCGAGGGGTGGGGCCGGGGCCGGGGCCTGGGCAGGGGCGGGGGCGGGAAGGTGCCGGGCTGGAGCCGCGGGGCCAAACTCGCCCCAGACGCGCCTAGGCGGGGGCGCGCGGCTGCGAGTGTGCAATGCGCGCGCGCCGCGGCCAGTGTGTGTGTCCCCGCTTTCCCCTTCCTTCCCCGCCGGTCCTCGGTCCGACAGGGCAGCGGGCGGCGGCTCCACGGCCGGGCGCAGCCTAGGTGAGGTGAGTTCGGGGAGCGGAGGCCGAGGAGCAGCAGCGCCCTGAGCTCGGGCGCTGGGGTCCGCGCAGTGCGCGCCGGAGTCGGAGCGAGGCGCGGAGAGAGCAGGGTGTGCGGCGCCCGGAGGCTGCAGGCCCCGCCCGCCGGCCGCCCAGGCTCTTCCCCCTTTCTCTCCACCCCCTCGCTCCATCCCCGCTCTCCCTGCAGGGACGCCAGACCGGTTTGCAGCAGCGGAGGTGACGGGAGTCTCTGCCGCAGTCGGTCCGGGCGCCCTGTCCCGCTGCAGCGTGGCCCAGAGGGAGAGCAGGGCTGGGGCGACCCCCTGGAATTGGCCGGTTCCCACCGTGCTCCAGGACTAGCCAGGCGCTTCTGGGCGGTTTTCAAAGTCTCGGAGTCCAGCTGACCTGGGCAGTTTGGGACCGGGTGTACCCCTTCCTCAGGCCACCAAACCTGGCTCCTCCTGGTCATCCGCCCGCCGGACTCTGCTGTTTGCGGCGAAGCCCGCACTTACAACACGGGTGCCTCTCCACCAGCAAGGGGCAGGCCAGGAGCTGGAGGTGACGGGTGCTCCCCTTCTGAGGACAGCAGATGTTCCCAGGAAGTAAGACCTATCCAACAGGTAGGGACAGGTTGGCGAAGGGGCCCTAGGAGAAAAAAGGCAGTGCAGGGCGACCTGCGCGAGTGTGCTGTCGTGGGAGGTGGGGGCCAAAGCCTGCAGACAGTGCAGATGAGCTGGGGACACTGCACTGTCATCTGAAATCGGTCCAGCTGCGAAAAGGGTAGGAGCCCGGTATATCTACATAGGACTGACTATGCTGAAGGGGCGCAAAAACTAGATTCACTTGACTAGGAACCCAAAGATACCGGATCCCATTTAGCTGAAAGGAAGCAAGTAGCATTTCTCAGCCTCATTACTTCCTTCTACTTTTTCCCATGTTTAATAAAAAAAACAAAACACCAACATGGGTGGGAGACGTGGCATACGTTCTGTCCGGGAAGACTGGCGATTCATGATCTTTATTGTCAGATACCCCTAGTGTGGTGAATCAAAAGATGCCCCTTTTAGTGTTCACAAAAGCACTTCTTTTCGGTTTTAAAATCTCTTCCCATCCACAGCCTAGAATGGAGTGCAGTCATTCCTTGCTAACAAAATACTAATACTTTTGAAGCTTTATTGAGGTATAACTAATAAAACAAGTATCTAGTATTTGTTGGCTGTTTTCTCAGTGTACTTCCAGGTGTGTTTGGTGGCCGTTTATGAAGATTTAGCTTATCACCTGCTCAGGACTCTGGATTTGTGTGTACTTTTACCCTACCCTTTAAAGCTCCAAGCAGGGACATATGTCTAGCCCAGCTTGCTTACTTTACAGATTAGAAAACTGAGGTCTCCAGATGTTAAGTGACCAGAGGATTTGAACACAGTTTTCTTGACTCCTTACTTCTGAACAAAAACTAACAGCAACACTGGTCTAACAAGGTTCAAGATACGATCAGTAGAGGGGTCCACAGAAATCAAAGATGGAAGATCAGCTCGACTGACTGATGTGATGGCTGTGTAGGGGCAGCACCCACTGCTCTAAGTATGGGATCCGGCCCCTGGGAATCCCATTCTCACCTCTCTTGCTCAGTCCTCTCTGAAATTCAAGGAGTTAGGAAATGAATTCATTTGGTAAATAAAAGTACAGTCGGTTCCTGGTAATTCAGGAGAAGGAAAATTACACAGGCTTCAGTGTGGCCACATATATATAAGTACCCAGATATGTGCACCTGTACACATCTTCCTTTCCCGTGAAAGCCTGGTGTTACCTTCAGTTTCCAGAGAGAAATCACAAAGCAAACTGCCCATGGGCTATTCAGAGGGCTATGAAGCAGAATTCTAAGAAACGTGGTTTACAAGAGCCTTAAGATTGTATCATTACCGTGAATAAAAGAGTAGAATGAGGAACTTTGTGGTGTGAGACTCAAATTTCTTCTTGATTCTATCTTTAATTCTGTCGGTAGGGAATTGGGAAAGTCATTCCTCTGCTGGAAGTAAGGCAACATCAGTGTCACAGCAATAGTGACTTGGCCAGAAAATCTGGGAACCTATTTGAAAATCAGAAAATGCTCGTCTACTTATTTTACTTAGTTTCAAATGTAATTTTTCCAGTTGATTCCAGACGTTAGTCCAGAATCTTACTACTACTGTTTCATACTACCCTTACACACATGAGTTTCTTATAGCAGATTTGATGGCATTAATGGTCCTTAGTTCATGATCTTCCTTTATCCAGGATATTTACTTAGGCTCTTTCCCTATAACTTTGTGTGTGTGTGCGTGTGCGTGTGCGTGTGCATGTGTGTGTGTGTGTGCCAGGGATCAAACGCAGGACCTCCTGCTTGCCAGGCAGGCACTTGTGCCACTGAGCTAAATCTCCAGGCCTCTTCCCCTTTAATTTTGTAGTTCCCTCCTACTCTCAGTTCAGCTGTATGGTTTATTCTGATCAATTGGAGAATATGAGGCTTGATGTAACTGAAATCTTGAAAATATGCATTTCTGCACCTGCTCTTGGAATTCTGCCATCGCCCAGGGAACAAGCCTGCTGCGGGAGGAAAGACCCCATGCAGCAGAGCTGAGTCACCATAGCCGAGTCCCTCCTTGACCGGCCAGTCCTCAGCTGACTTCCAAGGCACAAGTAAGTCCAAAAGCTATCAGCCAGACTTGATCCAGATCAACGTACCATGCACCCAGCCACAGAGTCACAACAAATAACAAATGGTAGCTAGTATAAGGCAATGCTCCAGGCATCTATTGCTGCATAACAAATCACTCTAAAACTTAGTAGTGAAGAATGCCAACCATTTCCCTTTTCTTGTTGACTCTGTGGGTCTACTAAGCTCAGATGAGCACTGGCTAAGGCCACATTCTAGAATGCATACAGCGGGAAGCTGAGCTGGGCTGGAAGGTCCTGCAAGGCTTGCTCCCACATCAAACATCTCGGTCCTCCTCCTCATTCCAAGGGGCTAGCTTGGCCTTTCTTATAGTAAGTTGGTCAGATTTCATCTATTTATCCAATTGTCAAGGGAAAGGGACTGAGTTTCAAAGTTTTAGAAAGTCATCTCTACTTCATTCTATTGAGCAAAGCAAGTTGTGAGACCAATCAGACTCAAGTGAAAGGGAAATGGATTGTGCCTTTTGCTTTGGGGGGAGCATATATAAAACAAGAATAAAAGGGCTTAGAGATTACATCGTCTGCTAATTTTGTGGGTGCTTTGTTATGCCACACTAGATAACATATTGTAGGAATTCACCTTGACCTGCCATCTTAGAGCCATGTTTAGTTGCATCTGCGCTGATTACTCCTGAGTAACCCTGGTCTGATTTCCCTGCATAGTTTCCTATCATACTGTAAGTAAACAAAACCTTTAGGGTGGTATGTGGAGCTTTGTAACTGATCCCTGTTGCTGCCAGTGCCAGGAATATGCCTTCTGTCTGTGGTATTAGCTTGAAAGAAGCCAGGTACATTCTGGCTTAGATGAAGTCACTTTTACCCTAACGATTATAGACATTCACTCTCTTTGACCTAAGTCATGAGAATCTATCACCACTCAAGACACAATTTCTCAGATGTTCCCCATAAATTATCTGTATTATCCTGGATCTGTCTACCTCTTTAGTCTCCCAGCATCTCGTAGCTGGTTCTCACACACAAGGACTGGATTTCTTCAGAGCACATACATTCTTCTTAGCTAGGGGGCTTTGGACTACAGTAAGTCCCTGACCTATAAACATTCCAGTTATGAACTTTCACAGATACAAATTGACTTTGCGTTACAAACGTGTAGATTTAAATAGTGACAGTCATTCTCCTGTCTACAGGACATCATCACAATTGTGCTGCTGCATGCTTACTGTACAGTTTAATAGCATATGGTATTAATAGCGTATGGTGTTCAATCAGAGGCCAGGATGTCTGGAAACCAGAGCAAAAGCTCTGGTGAGGTGGAGCGGACTGTCAGGATGTGCAAAGCAATATTCCATGCAGATTTGTGTCAAAGGTATATAAGACTCACTCTGTCAGGCTTACAAACCAATCCAACTTATGAATGTTCTCCCAAAAAGGAGCTGGCTCATAAGTCAGGAAATGAATGTAGTTATAAATCCTTTCTATGAAATTAGGGAGTTTGAGTTCCCCTAAAGTACTAATGCATATTTAGCACTTTCTCTGGTGATATCTTAAGGGAAAAAGAAATTCAGTAAGTATTCAGAAAGGAGCTGTTAGAGGAATTGGAGGTGAATTAACCAGCTTTGGTCATTTCCACCAGTTCATCTATCATTTATTTCCCAACGAGGGTAAAGAACAGGAATCCAGATAAAAAGCTTGCATTGTATCCATCAACATCAAAAATAAAAAGGAGAACCTCCATCCTTCACAACCCGAGGTCATCCTTCTTCAGTATTGTCTTCTGTTTCTAGAAGCTTCATTTCCAAGCAGATAAGAACAGGTAAGTGTTTCGATTATGCCCTTATATCTAATTTCTAATTTCAGAGGGATAATTTACCCTGGGGACTTAGTTCTCTAGTCTCAAGTTCACAAGGTTAGCAAAGGCTTAAAAGCTTAGGACCACCTCCCTTCTCTTCTTTGTTCCTCTGTCTTCTCTTTCTAACTTTTCTTTCTTTCCTTTTTCCTTCCTTTTTGTTTCTGTTTGCTTTTCCTTTCTTAATCCTATCCATCCCCTTATTGCTCTCAGGACTGGAAAGAGTATTGAACTAGGAGTCATGGGATCTGATTTCTCTTTTCAGTTCTGTCTCTGCAACAGTGAACTGTTCACTCTCTCGGTTTTAGATGCCTGTACCACGAGTATCTGAGACAACAAGCTCTAGAATGTCCCTATCGTTCCGTAATCCTTGAGTACCTTCTGCAGTGAATTTAGCAGCAATCTTCAGACCCTTTAGAAAAGCTGTGCCTATATCACTTCCATGTTTGTCCTATTTTTTTCTTCTAATCAGAAAACATGCATCTTTAGCAGCTGTAAGCCCTGTTTAACTCATTGTTCTTTGTCCAGAGGTTGCTGTTACCCTAACTCACTTCAAAACATGCTGATGTCTACATTCTTCAGTGAGAAACAATACAAAAACCAGAGGCCAGTGTTAGCAGGCACACAAGTCTGACCCTAAAAAAATGTTTTCCCTAGAAAACCTATCTGATAATTCATATAAGAAATATAAAAACAGGAAGGGGGAAAGGAAGGAAAGAAAAAAGCAAAAAGAAGGAAAAAGTGAAAATGAAACTTTTGTAAATAAGGAAGGAAGGGTTGAAAGAAAATAGGGGAAGGGGAAATATCAAGATATATCATGTACGGATACAAATTCCCTACAATGAATGTGATCATTTTATATACCTAAAATATACCATAAGCTTAATTAATTAAAAAAAGAAATATAGACACAAGCTAAGAAAGCTTTTCCTAACAAGTTTATACAAAATGCAATTATATATACTAAGATAATAATTTTTTAACAAAAATATGCCTGTTAACAATTCCTGAAAAAGAAGAATTAAAAATTGAAGTACTCATAGTAAGCTTGAGGAATTCTAAAAATTTTTAAATTGGTGTTACATCATTTTTACTTTTTAAAAATGTGCATGCCATGAAACATATTAGTTGAATTTTGACATACCCAAACCATGTATTTTAAATAAAGTTCAGTTGCTATTTTTCTCTTCAACATCTTTCTCTTGCTACAAACAGACTCACGTACATACCTTTACTAGGTGCATTTTCATTTTTCATACAAGTTACAAAAGCAAAATGTATCAAATGGTGGTTAATTTGAAGAGTGAAAAAGAAGCAAGAGAATATCAGAATGGAGGAGATGAAAAAGAAAAACTAGAAAGTTGCTAGCATTGCAGAGATCGAGGCTGCAATTCAGAAAGCATCCTAGAGACATATAACATTTTTGTACATGGTTTCTATATCAAGCCTGAACTTGATTTTTAGGAAGCTGGAAGTTAAGGTGTTAATAAAGGATGAAGGGACCTCCTTTGGGCTGGACCTACTGATTTAAAATCTTGAGCCAGAAGAGGCAGACAGAAATAAATCTGCTGTGTCCCTGAAGACACGTTGAAAAATCTGTTACAGCTTTATACCCTGAAGACCAGTGTGTTGAAGTAATTTTCCTCAAGTCACAAAATTCAACAGCAGGACCAAGAATCAAATCCAAGGCTGCTATTTCATCCTTCGAGTGGAGAGTGGGGGTGGGAATCACGGGGTAAGAGGGATCCGTACAATGTGCCCTGGCTCATCATGGTTAAGCATATGTTTCTCATGCCAAAACTTTCTTTGTTCTATAATGTGAAATTGTTTTCTACTTCCTTGTACTTGTGAAATGTTTCTCGGCAATGGTAAACACACTTGGCATTAAATGGGTTTAAAAAGGATGACAGGTCATGAAAGACTACCAGGAAATAAAGTCATCCCCCATATCTGTGGGGCTCGGCTCCAGGACATCCCACAGACACCAAAGCCTACAGATGCTCAAGTCCCTTATATAAAGTGGCATAATATTTGCATATAACCTACACACATCCTCCTGCATACTTTAAATAATCTCTAGATTACTCATAATAACTAATTGAATGTAAATGCTATGTAAATCATTGTTATATCCTAGTTTTTAGGAAATAATGACAAGAAAAAGTGTACATGTTCAACAGAGAGGCAACCTTTTCCTCTAGATATGTTTCATCCACTGTTGTTAGAGTGCACAGATATAGAACTCAGCATTTATGGAATTGTCTTGGGTTGCATACAAAATGTATAATGTGGTTCATGCATAAAAGTAACAAAATTTCCTTTACTTTTAATGTTTTTATTATAATATTAAAATGAATTAACATAACAAGCTGTGGGTCACTGTGGGAAGCCGCCTATGAATGGCGCCCATTTCCTGCTTCCGGGTTCTTCCCGGCCTGAACAAGCCCGCCAAATTGTCATGTCTGCCCAGTTACCCGTGACGCTAGCCTATCAGCTTGTTAGACGCGCTTCTCTGTGATTGGATACTGCTTCCCCTTATAAGAGGCTGTTCCTGCCCCCAACGGGCAGAAGAGGAACCAACGTTGAGGGTGGCGGACCTTGTTAGGTCCGGTTCGCTGTACGCAATAAACTTTGAGAGCTGATCCTGCTCGAGTCTGGCCTCCTGTCTCCCGCGGCTCCGGTCATCTGGTGGCCCGTATGGGGAAAAAGGTAAAAGACTCAGCGACGTGCCTCTTCGGCCGGGGGGTGCGATTGCTGTCGCCTGCGGTACGACGGAGGACCTGGCCCAATAACAACGGAAGGCCCCGAGCGCCTCTTCTCTTCACCCTGATCAGCTACGTGAGATACAGCGGTTCCCGGGACAGGTGAGTACTGGATCGCCTGGGTTGGGTGGACGCACCTAACAGATTTTGAGCGCCACACGGGTGGACGCCGGTCTTTTTTTTTTTTTTTTCTTTGCATTTGTTTCGCTTTCGCTTCGCCATTTGGGGCAATGCTGCTCGTAAACCCCTCGCTGACTCCCTAAGAGTCCTGCTGCGGACCCGAGGCATCTACATAAACCGGGTCACCCTTTCGAGATTTCTGGCCTGGTTTTGGCCCACGGGCTCTCTAACCCTCCTGTCATGGGAGAAGTTAGGAGGGGATCTTAGATGCGCCCGAGAAGAGGGACGCTTGGATCCTATGGTTCTACCCCTATGGGAGATGATTAGAGCTTGCCTAACGGATGAGCAGATCCCCGGACTTCATACAGCCCGACAGGCTTTTGATAAAGCTCGATCGGAATGCTCAGAGGAGCCCGGAGCCACTGCCGATTGTGGGTCTCCGGAGGACCCTCAGGGCTCTACTTCTGATTCTGATTTGGAAGGTTCAGAAGAGGAGGTTGTCTTCGCTAAACAGGACCCTCCTGCACAGCTTAAAGAGGAATTCAGGGCTCGGGAAGATAAAAAGGGGAACCAAACACCACCCTGCTCGAGCTACTCCACCTTACGGGAGGAGCTTAAGCCCTTCCGCCCTTTGGCAAGTTCGCGACCCACGATCACCCCCTTCAGGGCGCCAGGCCCCACTGCACCGCCGTGGCCGGAAGAGGAGTTGTTCCCTGGGCTGCCACCTCCGCCCGTGGCCGCCGGAGGGTGCCCACAATCCATGGCACCGCCCTGGTTAGAGGGAGAGCTACTTCCTGGGTTGCCTTCTGCGCCCCCATCTGGGGAGGGAGGAGGACGTTCCTTCCACCAGAGGGTATGGTCGCGGCTTCCCTTTGAGTGTTCTGGTCTCCATGCATTCCCGGTAGCCCTTAGAAATTAAACAACTTAAAGCTATCAAGGACACAGTTTCAGCTTATGGGCCCAATGCGCCATTTACCATGGCGCTTTTAGAGGCATTGGCAGGCCTGTGTGATCTCTTCACCTCAACAATCTATTGGTGTTAACCCGAGAGGACTGCGCCCAAATCATATTTGGCAAATGGATGTTACACACATCCCAGAATTTGGAAAACTTAAATATGTTCATGTTTCGGTAGATACCACCTCCCAGGTTATGTTTGCCTCGGCAGAACCCGGAGAAAGGGCCACCCACGCTATTAATCATTGCCTGGCAGCCTGGGCTGCTTGGGGAAAGCCCAATATATTAAAAACAGACAATGGTCCTGCTTACACCAGCAAAACTTTTGTAACATTCTGTCAACAAATGGATGTTGTCCTTAAACATGGCATTCCATATAACCCTCAAGGACAAGGCATCATTGAACGGGCACATCGGACACTCAAGGGTGTCTTACAAAAGCAAAAAGAGGGGATAGGCCACGGCCTAACGCCCAAAGGAAGAATATCATTGGCACTCTTTACCATAAATTTTCTCAATTTAAACCACAATAATCATTCCCCTGCCATGGAACATAGCAATCCGTCCCCAACCGACAAAGGGCTGGTTAGATGGAAAGATGTCCTTACAGGACAATGGATGGGCCCGGATCCAGTGATTAGCTGGACCCGAGGTGCGGTTTGTGTCTTCCCACAGGAACCAGGTCGCGAGCCGCTGTGGGTCCCGGAAAGATTGACGCGAGCAGTAAACTCCCCACCAGTTCCTGATAAAGCACAGGAGGATAAGCCCTCGGACACAAGTCAACTCGACCCTTCTGGGACCGACGCTCAGCGCCCGAGACCATCTACAAACTAAAATGTCTGGTTTGGAGCTTTTTCTATTCTGTAGGTTCCTATTAATCACCCCTGTTCGCACAAATTTGACCAACACTGTTAAAAATATGACAGCTTGGCTGCAAGACACCTACCTACCTAAGTTTCACAATTTGTCCCTCATAGTTGGTCAGGAACTTGACAATATGGACGGTATCCAACTAGGTCCAGTCAGGTTCGATTTATCAACTTTAGGCAGTGTTATAGCCAGTTTGTGGGAACGCGTCACCTCCTGGTTCTCCTGGCCCAACCTGACTACTTGGATCCTGATTGCCGTGGCCATCCTAGTGGGGCTTGTGGTTATTAAATACTTGTTAGATCGCCTCATACAAATTCAGCAGCAGGTTAAGATCACAGCTATGGCAGCCATGCAAATGGCAGCAGGTGGCCCATCAGGCCAGCAGGCCGCCGCATATCTCCTTCACATTGCAGAACATCAGCTATAAGAGCTGAGTGGGCAAGCCAATGACGGGTAAGACGGGAAAAGCCCTCCCGGTCAACCTAAGACAGGCTCCACTCAGATATACATGGCCTATAAGGCCAGGGGTCCCTCCCGGAGTCAAATTATTGGCATTGAGATGCGAGACCAAGGGTACTGCAGTGCCATCCGCCTCAAAGGTTGGGGGGAAGGCAGGAATGAATGTCTATATGCATCCAGGTTCGGTTCACAAAAGCCTGGCCCTGCGAAAAAATGAACCACTCACCTTGAGCATGGTCCTGGCGCAAGGATATGCACAAAACAGGGTGATGCACAGCAGGGTATAGACCTCTACATTCTCTCATGCCTCGGCCTACAAGGTAGGCCCACTCCTAGGTGTCTAACAGCAACAAGGTCATAGACACCTTGGAGAGACCCACAGACCATCCTATTTTAATAAATAAAAAAGGGGGAGATGTGGGAAGCCGCCTATGAATGGCGCCCATTTCCTGCTTCCGGGTTCTTCCCGGCCTGAACAAGCCCGCCAAATTGTCATGTCTGCCCAGTTACCCGTGACGCTAGCCTATCAGCTTGTTAGACGCGCTTCTCTGTGATTGGATACTGCTTCCCCTTATAAGAGGCTGCTCCTGCCCCCAACGGGCAGAAGAGGAACCAACGTTGAGGGTGGCGGACCTTGTTAGGTCCGGTTCGCTGTACGCAATAAACTTTGAGAGCTGATCCTGCTCGAGTCTGGCCTCCTGTCTCCCACGGCTCCGGTCAGGTCACTGCACGGAATGCATTTAGTGAAGAATTGTTTGAGGCCATATATAAAAATATAATACAGTCAATGTACATATGCAACAAACATCCTGTATTTTCTAATAGTTTACTATAACACGGGTGTGTGCAAATCATGCCCTGAGACAGAATCTTCTGACCAGTGCGGTCTTCTTGGTAATATCTGAATGTGCATAGCTTGCAAACAAAATGAAGTTTCTTGTTCAGAAACTCCTTGAAAGAAATGGTCAGCAAACTTCCAAAGCAACCTACAGTATTTGATGAGGTGGTGGGTAGAAAAAGGAATTATGTTAATCAGGATATGCAAACTGATATACTCTTTTAAACCATTTCTTGTTCATGTCAATGCAGTGTGATTTGGGAAGAGGTTGGTTTCATGAAATCATTCAGGAGCCCAGGAAACATTATCTTAAATGAGTGACCTCTAAAGTCTCTGCTGAACTGAAGAAAGTTGGAAGGATTTTAGATGTCAGGTGTGGAAGTGGCAAATCTATCTACTTACATTCTACTGGCGCAAACTCAGTCCAACAACCCACTCACCTGCAGAAAATCCAAAAGCTATAGATAGGAAAACCTGGGCAAGTGGGCACTCCATTCTCCAGCGTTTGTGCCGAATGAAAGACAAAACTGCTCATCTTAAGTTCTTCCTTGCACACCATGGTTGAAGGGTTATGAAGAAAAATCTTCATGGTCAGGGCTTTTCTCATGTGCTTATGTCCTGGTATTTCCCTCTGGAGTTTTAGGTTTAAATCCTCACAATGCATGTGTGTGGTTTGGGATGGCACTGCTGTCTTGAAGTATTTGTGGACCCATGTGGGATCATAACAAGGCAACAGTCTACATGGTTACAGAAAACTCAATACTTGAAGCAAGGGCCAAAAGCGTGTTTTAAAATGTGATATAAGGTATCTTCTGGGGGCTGGATATGTAGCTCAGTTAGAGTGCTTGCCTAGCCTGTGCCAAGCCCTGGGTTCTATCCCCAACAGAAAAACGAGTATCTTCTGGGGCTCTTGCCACAAGGAATCTATTGATTTCACAATCGGGAGAAAATGGAATCTGTTCAATCAGCTTTTGAAGTTGCTGCAACCAGGAACTCTGCAGTTTTTAGAAGGGGACAAATCAAGAGAAGCGTAACTCAGAGCACTATAGAAACTCGTAGACTGCAAAAAATAAAGGACCAGTCTGCCTTCTCAAATTCCTGCTGTCTCCTTTGTGATTTCAGTGGGCTGAAAAAAGTATGTATCTTTGCCCCCTTCTTTTTAGAGCAATCAGTATGAAAAAGAAGCCTTTTCTTGTGACTACTCTGTATAGCAAGATATATACTGATAGTCTCTCTAGAAACTTTTGCAAGGTTTTGAAAATGATTTCGTGAGAATAAAAAGCATCTTTTAAACTTGTACATATATTATAATCTCAAAAAAGGACACAGAGTCTAGAAAAGTGTTGAAGAGAAATCTGTCAAAATGTTAGCTATTGTTGCCTTTGGATTAATCTTGTATTTGCTTTAAATTTTTTCTTGTGTCAATTTTTCAAATCAAAAAAGTGAAATGAAAGAAAATATTAGTATCTGAAAATGGTACAAGATTATATATATATATGTATATGTATGTATGTTTTTAAAATATATAAAAGCAGGAAAAATTGCTTTTAAGTTTCTCTAGCTGGAGGCTGGGGATTTAGCTCAGCAGCATAAGCGCCTGCCGAGCAAGCACACAGTTGTGTGTTCGATACCCAGTACCGATTAAAAAAAAAAAAAGTAAAGTTTCTCTAGCTGGAGATGATCATATCCAATCTCCACCATTTGTTTTATATGGTTTAAAATATTTTATCATATTTTAGGCTAAAATAAAAGGCAGAGGATTTAGATCAGCTTATTTAGCAGTTTAGACAGCTATTTCTCTAAAAAAGATAAATGAATTGTCAATAAATAAATGGAAAGGTACTTATGTTATTAGTCAATAGGGAAACGTAATCCAAAACCATATTTACCACTTTATACTAAAAATTTCTAGAACCAGAAAGGCAGATAATAATAGCTTTTTGTAAGGAGACAGAAAATAGAAATCCTCATCTGTGGCTGATGGAACTATAAGAGAAGCAGCCATTTTGAAAATAGTCCCTCAAAAGATTAAATGTACCTAAAGCTGAGTTAGAATCTGATTAAGCAATGTCACTGAATGGAGCAACTGGGTAAATCTGTAGGCATTTACCCAAGACATACAATAACACGCATTCACCTGAAAACTTGTACCCAAGTGTTCAAAGCACTGGTGTTCATAACAGCAAAAATAACAAAACTAGTGTCCACCAACTGCTAAATGAATAAACAAAACACGGTATATGAAAACAATGAAATTTTTATTTGGTAATAAAAAGGAATGGCACATTGATCCATTTTACAACATGGAAGAATGTTGTACATACTATGCTAAATGAATTTAACCAGACACGAAAATCCACACATTGCTTGTTTCCATTTTTTAATGAAATGTCCAGGATAGGCAAACCTATAGAGACAGAAAGTAGTTTCCTAGGGCTGGGGAGAGGAAACTTCATAGGTAATTTATGAGGAGCTGTTAGTGAGAATGGGATTTGGAGCAGGATTATGAAAATGTTCTAAACTTGACAGCATGATGGATACACGATCTTGTGATTATTCTGAAAACCATTTTATTGTGTGCTAGATATGATAAAAATAGAGAATGTTTAAATTTAAAAATTTTTATTATAGTAAAAGACATATTGTCATTAGTCTCCCTCAAGATAGCCCCCTGCTTCAAATACACGTATCCTGTCATTCTTGCTATTTTCTGAAGCAATTATGGATGTGTCTTTTTCTTGAGTGTCTTTTGTTGTGCTGCCCTGGCTACCTCAATGCCTTTTATCAATTCAAAACGTTTACCTTTGAATTTTGGCTTCAGGGAAGAGCTGGCCGTGGCAGGGTGCCTGATTCAGTGAAAAGGTGGGCAGAGACAGACCATGTTTGTATTTGACAGAAATTATGGCAAACATTTTGAATTGATTTAGGACACTGAAGGAGCTACAGCAGAGCCATACAGACCCTCAGCAAAGAGGACCTCAAGAGCTGCTTCAGAAAGTGGCAAGATTGTGTTCAAAACAAGATAGGCTATTTTGATGAAAATTGATGGCAATGTGTCTTACTGAAATAAATTTTTGAAAAATTTAAATATTCACTGTATTGTGTCATACTTTATCCTTGAAATTGGTTAATTGAATAGCATGTAAATTTTATTCTCATATTTAATTAAAATATACATACATCCTGTCAAATAAAAACATTACAGTCTGATAATATATATTTACACATCAAAAAATGTCAAACTATATGAAAGACCCTAAAATTAAAAGTAAGATTTTCCTTTCCACCTACCTTCCTACCTCCACCTACCACCATCCTCTCATTTTAGTTTCCAGAGAGGACAGTTTTAAAAACCTTCTGGGGAGTTTTGTTCTTCTGATGGTTTCTGTATTTTAACATTAAATAATACAGCTATATTGCTCTTTATTGAGTTATCATTTTTAACAGTGTTTTTGACATCCTACTCTGAAGGTGAAGGAAATTAGTGGTTTTATTATTGCCTACATCTTTTCCTTCTTGTTGCTCACAGATTTTTCTTTCTTATTTCCCTAAAGGTTTTTACTTTTGGAACTTTAAATACTATATTCAAGTCTCTGTTGCTTGATTTATCAGTTTTAGGCACTCAATTGTCTACAAGAAGGTAGGCTAAGTGTTTCATGGATATAAACTATATGGGAAAAGTCCAACTAAATAAAATGCTGAGTCCTTTCTACAGAAAACTACTGTCTGCCTGTTTAACTATGCTGGTAAGAACTTAATTAAATGTTTCTCAAAGATGTCTTAAAATTTGGCTATAGGATATTATAGTTATCTGAGCATTGATTGTAGTGGATAAAAGTGCTGACTATATTGCTGGGGTGCCAGGGATAAAAAAGGCCAAATTCTGGCCTCACCTTAAACTTTTCATATTTACTCTGTAGGAGTATGAAGTGCCTTTTAAGAAGAGATCACTTCTGTTGATGAGAAACTGTTAAGTTCCTGCTAGGAAATTTGGACAACAACATTCAGGTTATCTAGCCCCTGGGAGAATTGGCAATTCTGGAGTTCTAAACTGTTGGGAGAAGGGTTTGCTGTGTCCTATTTACACAGAAGTTCAAGGCTAATTGTCATGGTGATGACTTGGACTAGCTGGTGAATTAAGAATGGTAGAGTCTAGTTTATGAACGGGTCTTCCTGTGGGACAGAGGATATGGAAGAGTAGGAAAGGACAGGGATTCTGATGATAGATAATCACTTAAAACAAATGCTTAGCCACAGCAGCAATACAGGAAAGAATTCTAAGTACTTCTATACACTTTGTAAGAGCGCAGGAGCAGACATTGATTTCCCTGTACTGTTATGCCCTATGCCAGGTTATTTGCCTGGTTTCATTCAATCATCAAACGTGAAAAGTAATTGTATTAGTCAGTTTCCCATTGCTGGACATGATGCCCAGTAACCACAACTTAAAGTATAAGAGGTTTATGTTGGCTCATGTTTTAAGAGGATTTAGTCCACAGTGTTTCCTCCAAGGAAAAAACATCATAGTGGAGCAAAGCCACTTAGCTTGTGGCACTGGGAAGCAAAGAAGGGGACCAGTGACAGAGAGGAAGGGTCAAGGGACAAAACATAGACACTCAAGGTCATACCTCCATGGCCTACTCAGACATATCAAGAATTATGCTCCATGAATCCTCTTGGTGGATCCACAAGCCAATCCAGGTGACACTCTACCCTAACTGCCAGATCTCACCCTTTGTAAATTTCAGACCCAAACACATCTCCTTAAACTAAGTTTACCTTCAAATAAAGACAATAGCAAGTTCATAATCCCACTTATGACAATACAACGATCTGGAGT